GGAAGATGAAGACCGTGAGCCTGGCTCAGCCCATGAAGATGAAGACCGTGAGCCTGGCTCAGCCCTGGCTGAGGACGCAGACCTCGTCCTGGAAGATGAAGACCGTGAGCCTGGCTCAGCCTCGGCTGATAACACCGACCTCGTTCTGGAAGACGAAGACCCGGCCAGCAGTGCACAGTGGAGTGCTCCCTCTTGCCCATGTCTGAGCCCGCTCAGAGTCCTGGAGTCATCTGTGGACCCCGTCAATGAAAAGGAACTTGCTGTCACAGATTTGCTCTCAGAGGTATCCAAAATAGGAAGGCAGGAGCCTGTGAGCAGTGTGAGTCCAAACCAAGAGCAAAATCAACCCAAGGAGGATCACCCTGCCTTCTTTAAACAGTTTCTCGCCTGCCCTGAAATCCTTGAGTCCTCAGTGGATCCAGTGACTGAGACAGGTGAGGAGGAGTGGGCCAGGGCCGAAACACCAGAGCCTTCTGTACACAGCTTGGGGCTCAGCAGAGAGGAGAGTGAGCCAAACGATGCAAACTTGGGCCAACGAGTGGAAGTCCAACCCACCACCTTGCAGGTTCTGTGCCCCCAGCAAAGTGGGGGAGCCACTCCATGCGCAAACAGCACCAACTGGAACCAAGAAGACAGTGAGCAGGGCCAGCAAGACAGGGCAAACACGGAGGTCCAGCCTGCCACTGTGCAAGTTGTGTGTCCCTGGGAAGAAGGGGTGACAGTGTGGGGCAGATGCAACAGTGGCCAAATTCAAGTCGGCTTCGGGGAGGCTGAACAGAGTGACAACAGGCCAGGCCCCATCTCCCCCACTGTCCCTTTGTCAATGACTCGCTCATCGGCTGCTGTTGATACTCGCAACTCCACGGGTCAACTTCTTCGTGACTCAGAGGAGCCCACGAGCCACCCATGTGCCTTTTCTCACCCAAAGGAAGGGGGAACTCTTGAGAAGGAGTGTGGGGAACATCCGCCCACTTCTGGTGGTCTTACTCAGCCGCCTTTTACTTCATCTCTTGAAAGAAACAACACAGACTTCTCAGTAAGCCACAAAATTGGGGAACCTCAGGTAGGGGAGGCCCAGGTGGGGAAAGCCAAACCCACGCTCCCTCCAGTGACAGGGTTGGACGCGGTCAGGAAGAGGCCAGGGTCCTCAGGAAGTGGACATTTAGCTGAGGGAATAAAGAAGAAAATTCTGTCCAGGGTGGCAGCTCTGAGGCTGAGATTGGAGGAGAAGGAAAACGCTAGGAAGAACACGAGCTTTATTAAAAAGACTCCTAAGCGTGAAACTTCAGGACCACACACAGATGAGAAAAAAGAGAAAAGAGACCTCAAGAAGCCGCCTTGCCAAAGAGCAGGGAAAGGTAAACCTCCATGTCTTCTGTTGTTGCTCCAGCTTGGTCTGTGTGACGAATGTCACATCCCAATGTCCCCCCGAGGCCTTTATAATGAGATGAGTGTCCACCAGGTGGTCCTCACACTTCAGGCACCTCAGAATCACCCTGAAGGCTTGTTAACACCAGCTCCCTGGGCCCCACCCCCAGAGTTTCTGATTTAACTAGTGGGCTTGAGAATTTGTATTTCTAGCAAGTTCTCAGGGGCTCTCAGGGGAGAACTACCATAGGTGCCTGAAGATCTGTTTAGCAGAGGACATGTGGTTAAGATGCCTTTTGGTGTAAGTGTCTTTTAAAGACTATTTTAAAAGGATAAACAGAAGTATTCATCAGTGTAGCTAATGAGTATAATTAAGCAGACCACACGCTAAGCGCGAATAACAGATAAACACTTAAGTCCAACTGGGGATTCTCATTTCTCATTGATTTTCATTAAGGATGGCTTACCAGGACAGCGGTTTTCTTTCAAATTTGAGTTTAACACCTACTTTCAACTCACCCTCCCAGTATGGGAGTCTGAGGTCCCCTGGGGGCTCAGCTCCTGGTTTCAGACCCCAGGAAGCTCAGAAACCTTGTACCTGCAGCCACTTCTTTGTACAGGGACTCGCCTCGAACTCAAATTCCTTCCTGTTCCCCTGGTTTCAGCCCCTTTTATGTCAGTGCTTCCTTCCCCATGAGACCTGGTAGAGTCAGAAGAGAAAATACTGCAGCAGCTAAGTGGCCCTTCCTGGCCCCACGGAGGGGCTGTGCTCGTCCTGAGTTCTCAGACTGGGGGGCTGATGTCTGCTCTTGTCCAGCTTCATCTAACAGGCCTGTAGACAAAGACAAAGCTGCCTTCCAGAGAGTTGAGGTAGACCCCAGGCTATTGGGAGCTATGTTTTTAAAAACATTAAAAGAAGAGGTAGCGTTTGGAAAGATCTCCACAGGGCCTCGAGGGAGGCAATCTGAAATCCTTGCCCAGGTTCTTTAAAACACCCAAGGAAGACGGGGGCGACTCAACCAGAAACTCTGGCAGACTGGGGTCCTGGACCCATCACCTTGGGGGAGGAGTGGGGGGGAGGCAATGAGCCTTGGATGAGTGTGGAGGAAACGAAACCCACTGAAGAGGCCTGGTGTTCAGAGCTTAGTGCAATGGAAGCTTCATACTCACCAGAGACTCCTTCCTCCTCTCCTCAGCCATGGCTGCATCTACGCAGAAGGCACACCTGCCCCCCAGGCCTCCTTGACCTGCATTCCTACCTCTGTCTCACACAAACAGGGTCCTTTCCAGAACCCTGAGGCCACGTGGGCAAGTTCACTTCCTCTCCCTCAAAGGCCCTCATTTGCTTCTGCTCCTCATTTTAGACTTCCCCGCTGCTGATTTTTTCTCTGTTCAAAATTTACCATGGCTATGGTTGGGACTGTCAGCATTAGGAGCATGGATGCCCATCCATTAGGAACAGGTATCCCCACAAGCACCCATGAAAATGGCCACCACACCATGATGGAGGGCCCTCGAGGCAGAATGTCCCAGAGGAAGGGGTGGGCTTGACCAGGATGCCACCGAAGGTTAAGACAGTGGACTGATACCTGGCTCGGCCAGCAGGACCTAGTTGGGCCAACTGAACCAAAAGGGATTGCCATCACTAAGAACCCGGTCTATTTTCTCTCTCCCTGTCACTTGGTTGCCAGTGTCAATAGTGACCCAGCAGCTCTCCAGTTCAACACTCTGCTACTCAAACATTCTTACTTCCTAGGAAGGAAAGAGACGGTTGAATCCAAATTCTGTTCATGCATCTGTGGGAGCCAAGGGGAGAAGGGAGATTCACAGATGGTTCTCAGTGGTTGAGTTTGAGTCAACAGAGCAATTAAAGCATCGGAATCAATGATATTGGCCTAGCTGCTGTCACCACACACGGGCTGTGGTGACAGAATTTGGTCAGCAGTGGGCGGGCAGTGTCTCTGCAAGGAGCCAGACTGGGGCATCCACCTTGTCTTGTTCCCATGTCTGTGCTGCAGCCTGCTGCCCTGAGAAATTACACATTTGCCCAGCATGCTGAATTCTCATGATTTCGCTTATTATTTCATGAATTCTCTTTAGAAAGGCTGCATGCAAGGATGTAAACTCAAGCCCTGGGAATTGTTTCCTTATGGCTCCCATGCCATTCAAGTAGACACGTCGGACAAAGAGAATAAAGTTTAGGAGGAAGGAATGTATGTCGAGGTTAACTGCACTTTAGGGGAGAGGAGTCTGTGAATCTGAATCAGATTTACAGCTCGGCTTTGTGGCCCAAAGTTTGAGGACTGAAATCAGACTTTCTGACCTTTGCTTCTGGTGCCCTGACATCTCCCTGGATGCAAAGTCCAGTGTTCTGGGTCTTGCCTCCTGAAGTATATACCCTTGTCCCAGGAGATGAAGCATTCTGCTTTTATTGAACTTAAAAGGCACCTTTGCAGGGGCAGTCATGAATTGATTGGTTGGGCCTAATGGACTTTGCACTGATAGGCTGAATGGCCCAGCCAAAATGGCAGCTCAAGCAGAACTTCTTTTCTAGCAGACCCAGACAATTGCTGGGCTGCTTTTTTTTTTTTTTTTCATCTGGAGGCTTAACCAAAATGACTTGGATGATCCAAATTTATTTCTACTCCCTAGTCTTCAATTTTGATTTTGATTTAGGTCATCTGGTGATAAATGAAAGTATCTTTATTTGACCCAAGTCCTACAAACTAGGAATTTACAATCACTCCCTGATTATATTGAGTGTTTCTCAAGTTCTAGATTATTGTGTGTATCACACACCTCACTCAAGGAATTGTAAGTAATGATAACTAAGAGATTTTTAAAATTAGATGAATGTGTTCATTTTCTTACTGTTCCTGCAAACCACAGAGCCCCTCAGACACTCTGCTTCTTCACCCCTAAATTGAGGCTAAAATTACTATCCTTGTCCTTGACTGTCCTGGGGTTGTTGCAAGAAGTAAATGAGATGAAATGAGGGAGCTCTTTGACCACTCTTGTAAAATTCTCGTATGAAGTTGTGCAGCTGTCCCAGACTGGGCAGCTTCAGTGTAGACTCAGGCAGACAAAAGGAGACTTTGGAACCTTCACTATCTCTAACATGCCTTTAATGCTGATCAGGGGACGAAGTGGCTGTAGAGGCTGGTGGCAGGAGGCCTCCCTGTGTTGCAAGAGATTAAGGCGCAACACTATGAAGCTATTCACAGCCACTGCAGCACGAGTTCAATCCCTAGTCAGGGAGCTGACCCACATGGCGCGGCAGACCTCTCCTAACCCGCCCGCTACTCCCCTCAGCAGTGTACTTCGTCAGTCTGCCTGTTCTGCTCCCCGCTCTGTCTCTGGTGAGTCTTCTCACCCCCTGCACCTCTGGCCTGTGCATCAATTCTTATATGCATAAATAAATTAATCTTAAAAAAAAAAAAGAAGCTGAATCCCCCATGTGTCCTATGAAGATCATAAAAACACTGACCAGCAGTTCTCTTTGTTTCTAGCTCCTGTATTACTGAAAAAGATCCAAGCAGAGATGTTCCCTGACCACCCTGGAAATATAAAATTAAGCTGCCAGTTTGCAGAAATTCATGAAGATTCTACCATCTGGTGGACGAGAGATTCAAAGTCACTCTCCCAAGTGCAGAGAAGGTATGCTACTTGCTCTTGGTCACTTGCTACTTGTGCTGCTTGTTTATTTCCCAACTACTAAGGGAAAGTTTTAAAGGAACACAGTAAATTATAGAAAGTAAAAAGGAAATCAAAGCAGAAATCCCATATCCAAAGTATCCAGGAAGAGTTCGTAGTGGGATCACAGAGATCTAGATGCCTGGATGGGAAACATGGTGGCAGGGTCTTGCCTGGCTCTGCCACCATCGAGTCCTGTGGCCTTAGGAAGGCATGACGCCTGTCACCCACCTTCCAATGAGGGGAATAGATCACAGTATATTCTAGCTTGAGGCCCTGTCATCCCAAGAATAAAGAATCTCTTCTGTATGTCTGTGAGTATCCCTGTGCTCGGTCTCATCCATGCCCATTAGTCTGGCAAAGGTCAGGCAAAACTAGGGAGGTAAGTCAAGTGGAAAAGGTTGATCTACATGGTTGCATCAAAGTATCAGCTATTGAAGTGATAAGCAGCTATTTCTAAGAAGGAAAACCAATTTATTTATAGGTGGGGTGTTAGAGGAGCACAAGATGGGGAGACACTTGAGTGGGAATCAAGGCTAAAATGCCCCGGATGGAACAAAATATGACTAATGGCTTCCTAAAGCACCTTCAGGCAATAAACTCTTGCTTGATTAACTGACGAGGGCGAGCTTCACCTGACACACATGAGGAGATAAGACTCATTCTGGAACTACATGACCTGGCTTGATGGAAGCCCGCATAACTCAATTCTGAAAAGCTTCCTTCTGGTGAAAGTCTCAGTGGAATCCCATTATCATGGGAGTTATTCTTAGCCCTTAATCTGAGAGGCTGCTATCAAACTGATCAAACATGTCTGCTCAAAACCTATCTCTGGAAATAATATTCCAACTATTCATGTCTATAACATCACACCAGAAAACCTCCCTGGATGGTGATTGGTATAATAAAGCCACTTTGCCTAATGTCATCATTACCCTCCTTAAGAAGAATGATAATGGAGAACAAATGACTTGATTTTTAAATCAAGAAGTTCCCTAGAGCTTTGTAAAAACAGAAGTACTGATCATTCAGAGTACTTTCTGAAGCCATCAACCAAGAACAATTAACCAGCATTTTCTGCGGTCTTGCTCTAAGCTCAGAACTGGCACTGGAATTGTCACATACCTTTTCCAAAATTTGAGGTCTCCCCAGGGGGGAGCATATAACATTAGTAAGCATGCTACTTTGATGACATGTACCCAAAGAAGGCCTTCTAATAGCCAGTGATGTTTGCTTCATTTCTACTTGGCAACATACTGGTCTTCTCTGTGTCAACACAAAGAGAATATTTGGGGGTTACAACTCCTTTTATATTGAAATCACATATCACTTCAGGTGGGTTTCAAATATGATGAAACCATACTTTCACTTGAGCATGCCCTCTTCATGTCCGTCCTGAAATATCTCACTGCCTTGTCAAGAGAGAATATGGAAAATGCATCAGCCCAGATCACATCAATCCTGGACAACAAGAGAACGATCAACTGGCAGCTAGGGAAGGCAGGTTCTCATGGGGTGCTCCCAGGAAGGACAGCACCAGGGCTCCCCAACTGAATGATGCACAGGGGGTGCTGCCAACCCCTCTCTGGGCTCCCTGGGGTGGGTACATACAGTGGGGTCTCTTGAAAAGTCCCCCAGCTAGGTCCCTCTCCCTGCATCCTCCGAGCTCCTGGCAATTACTCTGAGCCTGCTGTGGCCTAGCTTTCTTTGAGCAAGGACTGAGCCTGTTTTATTTCCTCATTGACTCCCCCAGTACTTGGGCAGACAGCAGCCAACTGCGTTGGTGTCCGCAACGGGCTCCAGACTGGCTCCTTTCTCAGGTGCCACATACCTGTTGCCAGTTACTGTCAGCAGGTATCTGGTTGTGATCTTGCATGCTTCTTCTCCAGGAGCAAGAGGCTAAGTGAAACAAGCCAGAGGTTGGCCTTGGGATTTGAATCCAAGTCTTTCTGACTCCTAAGTTATTTCTTCCAGAAGACTGTGTTGGGGAGAGTGATGAGCCAAGACAGGCCTCCAATTTCCTAGCCAAGTATCAGAATTCCTGGGTGATGGTAAATCCTAGTAGAGTCTCCAGCCTTTCTCGTAGCCTTCCATCGCCTCTTTTGGGAACAGAGGCTGGTGTGGATCAGGAGGCCACTAGAGAGGGATGTTATACCAGCCCCTCTGTGGCTCTCTCAGCGTTCCACAGCCCTGCCTGGAAATCTCCCCTCATGGTCCACTTTCAACCATGCATTCAGGGTGTGCTCGGAGGCCCCGTCAGTAGAGAGAGAATTGTGATTCAGTGACCCATGTTTTAAGTCACAGGTACATTCCTGAAAGGACATGTTTCAATGAGAGACACGAAGGCTATTGAAATGCCAAGAATGAGCACTTTTGTGGAATGTGTAACTGAGACAAGCTCAAGATAAATGGATTTTGTTGTTAAACTGTGAAATGAACCAAAACCGAAATGCTCACTGCACAGAAACAACCCTGCTGAGTGTTTTAACATTTATTACCTAGAACAAAACTAGAAGAGGATGTGAATGTTAGTTTGTGGCTGCAAAGTAGGCTTTTTCCTTTGAGACTTTGCAGTAGAGATTACAGTGATGCCCATCATGATGCTGGGCATCCCAGATTTGAGGCCCCCGCCTCAGTTCACTTGGGGAGCAGCTTAACGCGGTCCTGATGAGGGCGCCTGAGGCAGGCTTTGTTGGTTTAAGTTCTAGCACTATCCTGATCAGCTGTGTGGCCACAGGTCATCTGCTTAGTCTTATGCGTGTAGCCATGTTTCTCTCATGAGATTGCTCCGAGGATGGCATGCAGAAGACTTTCAAGTGAAAGCACAAGGCCTGGCGTGTACTAAGTGATCACTACACATTTAATGTCATCATCATCATCAGCACCCCCGCTACTACCACCAACATCATCGCCACCCCCACCGCCACCGCTGTTACTGGTTTCTATTCATCGCAGATGCTTGCAATTTAATAACTTTGGGTAGGTGGATGCATGGGTGATATTCACTAGTGGAATACACTGTCTCAAGGAACCCTCACTTATGAGCCCTACTGTCCAGCAAACACCCCCTTTCTTTGTCCCTCAGTGTGTCTGTGTTTCTATTTGGATTTTGAGTTTTCAGTTTCCTTCAAGCGAGGAGACCTGGATTAGTAACATAACTGAGGTGATGCTGAGCAGAAATGTCAACAACAGCCCCCACATTTCACATTTCCAGCTCTTTTACTAATAGCAGTCAAAGCTCCTCCATGTTTCTGGGCATTAATATTGCATATTGGACTGAATGTGTTAAGCCAGAAATGTACTCACCATCTGCTGTAGAGAAATAAATTATTTAAACAGCTAATCGTGATCTCCTCCTTCAGCCAGCCCATTGACTGGAACCATTAGGGCAGAGAAGCTTTAGTTTCTCCTCAAGTGTATTAGAAAAATGCAACTTCAGAATGACGAAGCAGGCGAATGTTAATGTCCCCCACTGCAGTGCAGGAGACAACTCTACTGTGTCCTTGGCTATCGTTGAAGCCAGCCAGAAGGACCAGGGCCTCTATTACTGCTGCATCAAGAACAGTTACGGAAAAGTGACTGCCGAATTTAACCTCACCGCTGAAGGTAAACCTCAGCTTTTCAGTTTCGAATGAAAACCTCTAGCGCCTATCAATCCCTATAAATCCCGAGTTTCCGCTTGTACTGAAGACATTCTCTTCTTTGTCTTCTTCTAGTTCTCAGACAGCTTTCCAGTCACCAGGACACTAAAGGTAAGTTATTCTGAGTGGGAAGTCAGAGGAAATGGGTTCATGGTTCAGCATGGACTAGCGTCCGCAGACAAGGCAAAAACAAGATTCCCAGGGGTTCTTCAAACTGAGTAGGTGAGAGCTCAGGAGGGACGAGTGACAGCAGGAGGTATTTCAACCTGACTGCAAGCGCTAGGTTAAGACTTTGCAGGGGTGTGCTGTTCACGAGCGTGACCAGACCAGTGTGAAGTTGCTGGGAGCACGTGGGATTTGGGGCTCAGCCTCCTGCTCTGAAGCATCAGCTTTGCAGTCAGCCCATCTCTGTGGGTTTTCTCAGCCTTGGGCACTTACCCAGAGGTGCCTTTTCTTCAGCTCTCTTCCCAGTTTGACTAGCTGAGCAGATCCCCAAAGATCTCCTCCCAGGTCTCCAGGAGGAAAGTGTCATTCATTGGCATCTTAATGAACATTAAAGCTGGTTTTGCCTGGCAGCTTCTCTTGAGCACCAGGGGCCCCTGGGCTGCCAGCTGAGTACAGGTTAGTTGAGCCCAAGTTTGCCAGCTATTTCCTCTTAGGAAAAATTCCCTGAACCCACACACATGCCCACATACATACTGGTGTACTGGTAAACTTTTAACACCTGTCCTGGAGGGTGAGAGACCCCGATTTGTAGTTTTCCAAAGCGTGTCGTGCAGACAGCTACCAACTGCCACTTTTAAATTGCCAAAGTGACATCAAGTGGTGTGGGAGGGCCGCCCACCACCAGGATGCAGGCAGACAGCTCTGCAGCCCCACCTGTTGACTCAAACAATGAGCAGTCAACCGCTCCATCACCAAGATAGGTCTGTTTGGAGCAACACCAGAGGCAGCTTGCTAAGTGCAGTGTCAAGGTGAGACTCAAAGGTGCCAGCATCCCCTTAAATAAGGGGGTGAGCTTCTGGGTAAAGACGCCTCCCCCTTCCTTCCACAGGGCCAGGCAGCAACATTCCTCCCGTGGGCGATGCCAGCACCTGGGGCCTGCAGAGTGCTGAGTGCGCATGCGCGCGCCCTTCCAGCCCGCCCACCTCACTGCGACGGGCTGTCTGCGTATTAATTTTCACACACCTAACCCAGCACCCCGCACCGTTGTCATAGCTTTTAGCGCAGTGTAGGGCCCTGGGTCAGTTTTAGGAAAAGTATGAACAAAACCCTGAAAAGTAAATTGGTTTAGCATCTTATAGATGTCTTGAATATGCAAACAAACACCCAAATCTTTAGGAAAACGAAACAATGAGGAAGTAACAATGTCTGGAACACAAAAGGCAAGAAACCAGGGCCAGCACGTACAAAAGGTGGAGCAAGTCCTGAGATATTTCTCCGAGGAAATATTTCAAGGCAAACTCTAAACACACCCACTCAAAACTCAATGCCTGTGTGAGATTGCAAAGTAACCAGGGCAGAGTTTAAAGTCCTTCCTTCATTTCTGCCTTTCTCTCTCAAGCCACCCCCCCCCCGCCCCCAGAAGTCAAAACATGACACACAATACCCCTCCTTCTTATACCAGAAAACAGCGACTTCCAGAAGAAGGCTGTGTCCCTCTCACCAGCTCTAGCAGTGGTTGGTACTGCTGTGCCAGGTGCTTGCTGGGTAGCTTTGCAGAACTCACTTTTTCAAGGTTGTTACCAGTCAGGAGTGAACCCCTGATGAGCCACTGTCCACCTGGTGGAAATATTTCCACTCCTGGAACCCAGAGGAATTTGGGTCTAAACCCTGATGTCACCAGCTTCTCCCCAACCTGACCACTGGGATTGGGGGTCCAGTTGTAATGACTTACCAGATTGGGGGGGGGTCATGCCAGTCTTCAAATGACTTCTTTAGTATCATTTTAATTTGGAGGCATCTCTCTCATGAAACATTTTTTCCACTTCATTCTCTAGAGGAGGAATGAATAATGCTTGATAAGTTGGTCTCCAAAACTAAGCTCATGGGAAAACCCTAAAAGAATGATGGTCCAAATGGAACACAAGTGAGCGCAGGGTGGTGATGGCTCAGGAGGAAACATCCTGAGATTTTCAAGAAAAAGCCCTAAGATTGTTTTACTTTTTGTTTCATCTTGTTAAACAAACTTTTCTGTAGAAAGTGACAGTTTTTGTTAATTCATGTATGGTGCTGTGCAAAAAATATTTCCTTTTCTATTTCTACACATATAACCTGGAACAACTTTTATCTCTGGTCAATTACATTTTATGAAATTTAAAGCATAAAGCACTCAAACTTCTTACTTTTTTTTTATTACAAAGTTTATTTTTACATCATTTTGCACATTTTTTTTTTCCATCTCGATTGTAACCCCCGCGGGTTTCCCATCACCAAATCACCCCTGTGCCACCACCATAGTCCCGTGCATTTCCCTCCCTCCCCCCCCCATTTTTGATCCCATTCCCCACTCCGCCCCCACAGAATGTCTCTGGTATATGGTTGCTCATTATTTTTGTTATTTTCTCGCCTGGTCCATTATACTCCTGCTATGAGTGAAACCATCCGGTATTTTTCTTTCTCTTTCTGGCTTATCTCACTAAGCATGGTCTTTTCCAGCTCCATCCAAGTTGCTGCAAAAGACATGTGTTTCTCTTTTTTGGTTGCTGAGTAATATTCCATTGTATATATGTACCACATCTTTCTAATCCAGTCATCTACTTTTGGGCATTTGGGCTGCTTCCATGTTTTTCCAATTGTAAATAAAGCAGCAATAAACATGGGGGTACAAGTATCTTTTTCAATCAGTGTTTTTGTGTCTTTTGGATAGATACCTAAGAGTGGGATTGCTGGGTCGTAGGGAAGCTCCATGTTTAGCAGCTTGAGGAACCTCCAGACAGTTTTCTATAGTGGTTGTACTAGTTTGCATTCCCACCAGCAGTGCAGGAGAGTTCCTTTTTCTCCACATCCTCGCCAACATTTGTTGTTGCTAGTTGTTTGAAGATGTGCCATTCTCACTGGGGTGAGATGGTATCTCATTGTGGTTTTAATTTGCATCTCCCTTATTACGAGTGATGTTGAACATTTTTTCATATGCCTGTTGGCCATCTGCGTTTCCTCTTTGGAGAAGTGTCTTTTTAGCTCTACTGCCCATTTTTTTGATGGGGTTGTTTACTTTATTTTTGTTGAGTTTCATCAGTTCTCCGTATATTTTTGTGATCAGTCCTTTATCGCTACTTTTGTGTGAGAAAATGTTTTCCCAATTAGTGATCTTTCTGTTTGTTTTTAGTAATGTTTCTTTTGCTGTACAGAAGCTCTTTAACTTGATGTAGTCCCATCTATTTATCTTTGCCTTCACTATTGTGGCGTTGGGTGCTCTGTCTTTAAAGATGTCGCTGAAGTGTATGTCGTGTAGTGTTTGACCCATCTTTGCTTCTAGGTATTTTATGCTTTCCGTTCTTATGTCTAGGTCTTTAATCCACTTCGAGTTGATTTTTGTGACTGGAGTGAGGCAGTGATCTAGTTTCATTTTTTTGCATGTAGCTTCCCAGTCAAACTTCTTACTTTTAAGAGTTACTGAATTTCAGAAATATTTGGATTTTGAAATAAAACAGATGGTGGCAAATTTAGCTCCTATTTATTGGGTTCTAGTACAGATACATGAAAAGTTTCCTGTATTCTTTTAGTGACCCTCAAGTCCGGATTGTCAAAAATGAAGTGAATCATGTAATAGATTGAGATTGGGGTGTTATAAAAAACATTCCCTCTGCATTTTGTTATCTCATTTTAATTTTAACATAAAATACACTCCCCGGACCCTTCGTGGTGGCTCAGTGAGTTAAAGCAGAGCACTATGAAGCTACCGCAGCCACTGTAGCATGAGTTGGATCCCTGGCCAGGGAGGTGACCCACAGGGCGCGACAGACCTCTCCTGAACACCCGCTGCTCCCCTCAGCAGTGCATTTCAGTCAATGTGCCTGTTGTGCTCCCCACTTTGTCTCTGGCAAATCCCCTCATCCCCCGCACCTCTATCCCAGCTCTGTATGTATAAATAAATCTTTAAAAAGATATATACTCCCCATTAAAATCCTAGTTTTATTACATGACAGAACAATGTCCTTTAAATTTCTCTAGGGCGGTTGTTCCATTTGCCTCCCTGTCTTCCTGCTTCTCTCCTCCCCTCCCTGTTCCCTCCCGGAACCCAGGGCAGCTTGCCTTGGGTGCCCTCTGCCAGCCTCTGGAAAACTGGAGCAGCATCTTTCTAGATGCTTCCTTTGCATCTACACTGGCTAACTCTTCATCCACCTTTTCTCTTTGAAAACCAAAACTTACCCTCTGCCCCCCTCTTGTTATCAGTACACTTCAGAAGAGTCTCATTCTCCTTAGAGTTAACAACTAGCATCTGGCATTGACTGCTCTTCACCTGCAGATGATCTGAAACTATTTTTTTTTAAGATTTATTTATTCATATAGAACTGGGGAACAGGCCAGAGATGTGGAGGGTGAGAGGATTCACCAGAGACAGAACAGGGAGCAGAACAGGCAGATCAACGAAGCACACTGCTGAGGGGAGCAGCGGGCGGGTCAGGAGAGGTCTGCCACGCCATGTGGTCTCCTCCGGGGCAGGCGGGGATCGAACTCATGCAGAAGTGGCTTAAGCTTCTCAGTGCTGTGCTTTAACCCGCTGCGCCACCAGGGAGGGCCCTGAAACTATTTTGTTAAAGAAGAAAAAGGCTTTTCTCTGAACAGTCTAAGTAGATCTGTGAGGGAAATTTGCACATGAGGTCATGACTTCTTTCCTCCTTTAAACAAACAGAAAGATGTCACTTTTTATTGGCTTTGAAGAGAGGCAAGGGCATTTTAAAAAACAGAAGTGTTCTTATTTCACTAAAAGTCATCTCCTTTTCTTCTCAGCCAGTTGCAAGTCTGACGGTCATCATCATCTGAAATGTGCCTAGTAGAATCAACGCAATTTTAGGTGCTACAAAACTCAAGAAACAATCCTACTGATTTTTTACACACACATCCAAGATAACTCTACTAAAAAATTCTCCAAGGCAGTTTCTTTTTCACTTGGTCCATTTTGTGCCCATTTTCTGTCCACTATGGGTATTGCCAGTCATGGTGGTCACCACCCCCAAGAGAGCAAACACACACACAACAGAGTTGTACAGGACCTCTGTGGCATTACAGTTTCATGGGGGCAATCTGACAAAAAGGGGGGGCTAAGAATCTTGTCATGAGGTGGGTGGGGGTAGGCACCTATAAGAGATTGAAAAGCAGAAATCTATTCGCTGTTACATTGGACCTTCCTTCCTCTGCTACACCTCACCCTTTTCAACTGTCCCTTAATAGCCGTTCATGGTTCTGCTTTCATTTTCCAACCACGTTTCACATTCTCTTCCTAGCCGCTCACCTCTCCCTGCAGGCTACTCCCCTCTCATCTGACTGCCGGGCCTCCCAGGCTCCCCCGGCCTCCCAGGGGACCCCTTCCCACAGCTTCTCAGCAAACGTCTGCCTCCACCACCTCACCTGAGTGCCAGGTTCATCGTCAACATGGGGATGCTCACAGTGGGGTACGCGAATCAGCCCAGGAGCAGGAGTGGGGGAGAGCATGTCCCACCAAGACTGTGCTGTGTTTCAGGCTGTGAGGAGATTGAATTCAGCCAACTCATCTTCAAAGAGGATTTCCTCAGCGACAGCTACTTCGGGGATCGCCTGCGCGGGCAGATCGCCACTGAGGCGCTGCACTTCGGGGAGGGGGTGCACCGGAAGGCCTTCCGCAGCCGGGTGATGCAGGGCCTCCTGCCCGTCTTCCAGCCGGGACACCCCTGCGTGCTCAAGGTGCACAACGCTGTGGCCTACGGGACCAGGAACAACGACGAGCTCATCCAGAGGAACTACAAGCTCGCAGCCCAGGTGGGCCCACCTGCCCTAGAGTCCCCAGGTGGGAGAGGGCAGCTCCAGGAAGCTGCCTTTCTCCCTCTGGGTGTGGTTATTAGGAGGAGTCACTGGGTTATGGCTGCTTGCTGGGGGATCACTGCTAGTTCTCAGGAGCAATTCCTTATCCTCCTGTCAGTCTGCTGGGCCTCACCCAGTGGTCAGGGACACCTGGTCAATTCTGCCCTGGGCACTCAGGAAGCTACCCCCTCCCTGTCGACAGGATTGGTCCACTGTAATCTCCTCCAAACCTACCCCTCTTTTTTCTTTTCCTTCACGGGGTGTTCCTTCCATCTTACATGTCCTTACGGAAAACTCTTCAGCATCCAGACACCCACTGGAGAGGGCCGGCAGAGAGAAGAGCAGAATCAGCTCACTTTTTTTTTTTAAAAAAAGATTTATCTATCCCTATACAGAACTGGCGCACAGGCCAGAGGTGCAGGGGTGGTAGGAGAATTCACCAGAGACAGAGCGGGGAGCAGAACAGGCTGATGAAGTACACTGCTGAGGGGAGCAGCGGGCGGGTCAGGAGAGGTCTGCCACGCCATGTGGTCTCCTCCGGGGCAGGCGGGGATCGAACTCATGCAGAAGTGGCTTAAGCTTCTCAGTGCTGTGCTTTAACCCGCTGCGCCACCAGGGAGGGCCCTCAGATCACTTTCTAAAGGACTACAACCTGGTCCCCAAGTTCACTAACCCCACTTTAATGGCACCTTTGAGGACAAGCTTCCGATGCAGAGTTTCATGGGAACTTGACCCAGCATGGGCTGAGAAGCAGTTCCCTTAGTTCAAGATTAACTTCAACCCCGTCGGGTCAAGGAATCCTACGGCTCAGGCTCACCTGGCCCCAGAGACCACTTGGCCCTCGCCTAAGCGGTTCCTTTAGTTCTCAGGCTCCTGTAAGTGGCCAAGTTCAGCTTGCCATGATTGTCGCTTCTGTGTGCAGCCTGGCTTACAGTAGGAAAGCAAATTAGCTTTGCCTGGTCCCTCTCGGACATTTTGCTGACCACCTGGGTTTCCTGTGTCTCTGGGGATACAGGAATGCTATGTTCAAAACACCGCCAGGTACTACGCCCAGATCTACGCTGCCGAAGCACAGCCTCTGGAAGGCTTCGGAGAAGTGCCGGAGTAAGTGTGTCTGTGTTGCCTGAGGGTCAACCTCTGGCTTGCTGTGAGTGGGGTGGGGTCAGCGAGGGGAGAGGGTGGAGGCCTTCATTTGGTCTCTCTGTGCTCTCCTCAAGGTCACTCACAACTGCTATCCTGCCTCCACTGGGCGGCCAGAGGCTTGCAGAAAGATACTTGAAATATTCTTTGAATGAATGCATGGACGCACGCTTCCAGGGAGAGAGGGATTCAGCAAACACATGTGCCATGTTAAATAGAAAAGAAAGGGTGTCTCCACTGGCTGTTACAGAGTCTAAATAATAGGCAAATACAGGGAAAGCACCAAGAATATCACAAATGATTATAAAGAAAATGACACGTCACAGGCATTTTCATCAATATGAGTTTAATGAGTGATAAATGAGCAAACAAAAAATACAGGTTTTCCAGGGTGGAATAGGAGGTGGAGGAAGAGAAAACACTCTTCCTGTGTTAGGCAAGAGTGGGCTGGGTGACAGGGGCTGTAAGGGCATAGGGCCCTGCCCTCCCTGGAATCCTGCAGAGATAAATTACCGATTCCCTTTATTCCTTCATTGACAGTAACCCCTGAAAAATTGCCGGCTGTCTGGAGCTGGGTGTAGTGACCGGTTTGTCTGGTGGCCATCACAAGTGCTGTATAAGGGAAAGAGGCAGGTGGTACCCTGCCCTCTGGGAATTCCCAACAGAGCAGTGACTTACACACCAGTGAGGACAGAGCTGGGAGAGAGGGTGCTGGCCCATGCTGGTCCTGTTAACTCACAAAATGGGGGACCCCCTCTCGGTAAGGTGTAGAAAATCTAATACTTCTTGCTTTTTACCGAGAAATGTTTAACACGCTTATTTCGTATACATTCCTGGACCACTCCAAAAACAGTTAACATAATGCAAAGAAAAGATAGAAGTCTTTCTGTTAAACACCTAAGACAAGAACTCACCTTCTCCTCCCTCCTGCAGTTTCTGTCCACTTAGGTTCTTCTCAAGGAGGATGAAGGTCCGCTTGCACCAGCCCCATGCTGGGCACCGCAGCCCTCTGCAGGGCACATCCAAGTTTTGTGCCAACCTGGGGTCCTTTGAGAGGAAAAGAACACGGAGTTAGGACTATAGAGATAGCCCTGAGGATTGGAAAGGGCCAGTGCCGTGAGGGACACAGGGCTTGGCCAGTGTCCCTATAAAGGCTTCAAAGGTAGATGGGGATGTTTAGAAGGTGACTTGGATTCTCCTTTACAGCAGGGGGGTTTGATGATACGCGAGTGGTAGGATATGGAGGGGCGAGGGCCTTCAAAAGCACATCTGTGGCAGATTTCACCTTCATGGTGAAATCAGAGGATTCTTCTCTCTCTTACACACACACACACACACTCACACTCATACAGTCACACTCACACACTCATACACATTCACTCTCTCTCTCTCTCTCTCTCTCACACACACACACACACACACACACACACACACACACCCTTCTTAAAGGGCCTCTGCAGGAAACCACGTTAGGAAAATGCCAGCAGCCTGGCTTTAGAGGTGGGCGTGTGTGGTGAGTGTTTGTGGCTCCCCTGAGACCTGTCCAGGTCATTGGCCATGAGCAGAGGGAGGGAGACGGGCTCACAGGCTGGGAAGGGAAGCTGCCCTGTGGCAGCTGTGCCTCTGCTCAGTCACTGGCCTCCCTGACAGGGCAACTCTGAGGCGCAGATCTGAGTCTTCAGCTGCCCCAGGCCAGATCCGCAGAGCACACTCACCCCGCCCCCAACCATGTTTCCTTCCAGAAGATGAAGGTGTCCATGGAGTGGGGGGTGGGGGGTGGGGGGGGCTGAAGGATAAGAGTCTCCCCCTCTGGCAGCTGCTGGATTTCATGCACATGGACGGAATACATTCAGTGTCTGCAAATGGCCCAGGGCCTAGCTCCACCCCAGTCATGCCCAGCCCTCGCCTCAGGTCATGGCGGGCTGCAGAATGAAGCAGCCTGGCTCCCTGTGAGCCCTCTGCGCTGCTCTAGCTGGGTGGCCTGCTGCCCTCAGGTGCCAGGGAGGGAACTGTGATTCCTCAATCCTGCAAAATTGACAGAGCAGGACAGAGTGGGTGTGGCTGCACAGGCTGATTTCAGGGGTGCTGGGAAGGGGCCCAGCCCATCTTGGCTCACCTGCCTCCTGGCTGTTACTGAATTTTCTTTAACGAGACCCAAATGCTTTCATCCTGAGATTAGCAAGAATGGCCAGGTTACCAGCAGCCTGACTGGTAACCGTGTCAGAGGGGGCTGCTGGGTGTCTCCAAGGATGTTGTCTTGGTCCAGCAGCACTCTGCAGCTCCTGGCCACTCCAGGTGGGGGTCGAGTGTCCCCCGAGTCTCTACTCCCCTCTGAGAATGCCGTGTGTCCACGTTCTCTCCCTTCCAGGATCATTCCTATTTTTCTTATCCACCGGCCTGAGAACAACATCCCTTATGCAACTGTGGAAGAGGAACTAATGGGAGAATTTGTGAAGTATTCCATGAGGGATGGGAAGGAAATAAACTTCTTGAGAAGAGAGTCAGAGGCTGGTCAGAAATGCTGCACCTTCCAGCACTGGGTGTACCAGAAAACAAGCGGCTGCCTCCTGGTCACAGACATGCAGGGTGAGGAGAGAGGCCTGGCCGGGCGGGTGCCTCGGTGTGGATGCTTCCGGGGTGGGAGGGGCTGCTGGGTGCCTTTAAGCACCTCTACCAGCAAAGGTGTTGCTAATGTCTCATCAGAAACAAGGTGTGAGGCCTCCCTGGTGGTGCAAGGGGTTAAGTCTCAGAGCTCTGAAGCCATCACCAGTCACTGCAGCACAAGTTCGACTCCCGGCCAGGGAGGTGACCCCCATGGCACCGCAGACCTCTCCTGTCTCGCTGCTCCCCAGCAGTGCATTCCAGTGTATCGGGCTGTTCTGGTCCCCACTGTCTCTGGTGAATCCTCTCATCTCCCAGCACCCCTGACTGTTTTGTCCCGGCTTCTGTGACCGGGCACAAGAAAGGAAGGCAGGAGGCAGAAAGGCTGAGCAAGCAGAATTTATTGCTCCCAGACAGCAGCTGAGACAGCGCCCCTAGAGTGGGGTCTACAGCTACTGCCAACCCAATAAGGGGGAAGGGTCTCTTATATAGGTCCTAAGCTCAGATTTCAAAGGGGTGACTCATGGCTGTGTCCTTGATGTAAGGCTCAGTTCGTCAACACCTTCAGCTAGTCCCATCCCAGATGCAGGGCCCAGTTAATTTATCACCCTTGGATGCAAGGCCCAATTTATTACCACCCTTATCCAGTCCTCGTCAGCAAATCTTCGCACTTGGTCATTCCCAACACTGACCTATATCCCAACTCTTGGGTAATGCATAAATAAATAAATCTTAAAAAAAAAAACAACAAAAAACAAGGTGCCACAAAGGAGCCTAGAATGACCAGCCCAATGGGGGTACTAAAGTCCATTTTAATAACGGAGCCAGTAATCTTCCTGTCACGGCAGATGACCCAAAGCTGGCTTTCTTGTTCCCTCCTCACAGGCACACATTCAGAAGGATGTATGAAAATCCAGGCGTCCCCAAAGACAAATCAAGATGTATTGTTCATTCGTAGTGGGTTTGGGATTTCAATCTTCCCTGTGAATTTCCATGTTTTCACAATATCCACACCTTTTCAGAATATGTCCACGGTCTGAGTGGAGTTCTCCTAGTTAGGGTTCCCACACAGAGAGCATTGGGTAATGTTGCCTTCGGGGGGGCTCTCAGACCATCCTCTGTTTCATTAACTTGCCGGAAGGACTCACAGACCTTGTGGTTATGGTTTATTATCGTGAAAGAAGGACTTCAACTAGCAAGGGAGGAAGCCAAAGAAACAGATCTGGACAGTCCAGGAGAGCTTCCATTTGTCCTAAAGGTGCTGAGGTCCGCCCTGCTGGGAGAAATCTTACCATCAGCACTGCCGTGACACACCCACTGTAGAAACCATCTGCATATTAGCATTTTACCTAGCGGCAGTGAGGGTGAAGAGCCCCCAAGAGACCCCTACTCTGCTGCATGCAGCCTCGAAGGCCTGTGATCTGGTGAGACACCAGGGACCCTCGGAAGCTGTCACCCCAAACACCCGAGAACTCAAATTCTGGAGCATGAACTCCGATTGCTGCCTGCAGCCTCTCCTCCATCAGAGACGCCTGTAGTGCCTTCTTCCTCAGCTCATGCGCTGTGCCCTGGAGTTGCGATTATTGTCCTCTAGACACCCCAAATAACTTTGAATTTCTAGCAAACCAAAGGAAGTTTCCTTTTAAAGTTCTATTTTTCTAAATAGGCAAAGACCACTGTAGTTGTGAGAAGCCAGAGAAAGCAGTTCTCTAAGTTCAAAGACCTTTAGCCCAATAACTTCTAAAAACTGGACTTGTGTGCCACTTAGAGATGAGATTTTTATACGATTTCCCACCAAAAACGATGTCCAAAGAAGGTTTCTGCAGCTTGGTGTCTTCCCCCACCACCGTCCGTGCAGTAAAAGCTACATTAGCATCGTCACATATGCTCTAGTTCTAGTTGTTATAGCTTTGAAAGAATGACATGAATTAGTTACCAACTGTGCAAAAGTGTTTGAAGTGCTCGGGGCTCCCCCAAACTCTCCCTTGGCTCCCGGGGTGGCACAGACCAGCAGGGTCCCCTTGCTGTTTCTATCTCAGGAACCAGCCTCTGAGCAGCCTGTATTTGTGTCTGCTCCAGGCTGACGCTGCTGGAACAGAGTATCACCCCCTTGGCTTTCCTTCCCAAGCCTCAGAAAACAGCCCCCTACTGGGGACCCATGGAACGACCCTCAGGATTGTTGTTGGGCAGGGTCTGGTGGGGTTCTGTCTTGCCAGCTCCCAGCGGAGCCAGGCCCCTGTGCCAAGCACGAGTCCTTTCAGCACAGCCTGGCTCGCGTGGGCATCAGGAGCAAGTGGAGAAGGGGTGAGACCCAGACCTGGGGCCTGCAGGTCAGGCAGACCGGCTCAAGTCTGTTCTGTTGTTTGGGTTTTGAAAACAACTCTCCCGCCCATGGGTGAGTGGATCAAGGTTAGGCTGAGCACCAAAGGCTACATAGGTTGCTTAGGTGAGACTAGGGTGGAGGGTTGTCCTCTGGTGTTCACAGACACACCCTGGGGAGACAGGCAGAGACAGGTGCTTCCGGCTTTGGCAGGAAGACCTGGAAAGGCCCCTGCACAGCCTGAGCCTCGGAGAGGGATGGCTCACGGCTGCCGTGGACAGTGATGTGGTCTCCCCCTTGCTCTCTGAGAGACTGGGGGCTTTTCCCTGTTCCTTAGCGACGGCCCCCTGCTTCTGCTGGGAGGCAAAAAACAGACTCCTGGATGCTGGGATTCCACCTGCGAGACCTGTGGCCCTTCATGGAATCCGGTTAGGAGCTTAGGTCTCCATTCCATTGTTTTGGCTTCGGTAGCCCCTCACACACCCCAGGGTGGGGTGCTAATGGATTGAAGTTAGGCTCAGCATCAAAGGCTACACCCTACACCCGGGACAAATGCCATCCTCTCCAGGCTGCTGGTGAAAGCCTACCGGCAACTTGGATGTATTTTCCTGACTCTCCAGCTGCCCTACAGAATCTTCCATCCTAGATCAGAAAATGATCTTGATGGAAATGGAAAGTCACTAATTTCCACCGCATGGCCCACTGAGAAGCAAGGCCCCAGACTGAGTTTCTGCTGCCCCAGCTGGAGTTTTCTCCCTGGGGACCTCGGCCACCACCGCCAGGCCCTCTGCACCCGCCACTGCATGCAGGCTCCCCTTCCAGCGGGACCAGACCGCCCTCTGCGTCCTGTCCTGAGCTGCAAGGGTTGGGCTTTGCCTGGAGCCTCCACCATTTGCTCCCAAAAGCCATGTCTCTCAGAACCGCTGGGCAGAGGCCTGCCTTCCCCTGCCGGCCCCCGTACTGGTGCAGGGGTGCCGGTTTCCAGCTCCCCCTCAGAATGGCCTCTGCAGAAGAGCTTGCGGGTCCCTGGTGACACAAACTTTGCCCTTGCTCTTTCCCTGCAGGGGTGGGAATGAAGCTGACTGACGTGGGCATAGCGACACTGGCGAAAGGGTAAGTAGGACAGAAACCCAAGTGCTGCAAAGAACACGAGTCTGTAAAGGAGCTTCACGCTGGAGAGTCTCCCGGGGCTCGGGCAGCCCTTCCTGGCAAGGCCCGTCGCTGGTGGCCCAGGGTGATGATGAACCAGGTGGAAGCTAGGACAGCAGGGGTGGGCTGGCACTGCCCTGGGCACACTGGATGGACGGGCATCCCTGCTGTCCCCTGTGCAGGGCTCCTGTACCAGCCCGTGGACACTGGCTTTTGGTTCTCATCGACAGAAGGGGACTTGGGGTTGTCTTTAGGGTTCCCCCAGTTCCTGTACAGCTGGTTCCTGAAGCTCCATATGTGTTTGATAAAAAAATTGGGGTTTTTCCTCTTCGGGTCTCATCCTGATGGCAGATTAGGCAAGTTTCAGAACGTTATTTAAAATCACTCTGCCAACACAGAGCACAAAACTGCTCAAGGAGTTTCCAAAACCAAAACAAGCTGAAGACAAAGCGATCAAGACACCCTTGAAAAGCGTTCTAACCGCGTCCAGGAACCAGGCTGCATTTTTTCCCCTCCTAATTTAAGAAGAAATCCAATTCCTTGGTTTTGTTTTCAGCTTTAATGTGTCCTCTCTGGCCTGGGACAGCTGCCCAGGGCCCATTAGGAGAGCTGAGGGCTGAGCCCAGAGCTGATTCTGTCCATAAAGTGTTACTGGCCCCTCCCCTGGAGTGGGGGGAAAGGAGGGCCCCCCACAGAGATGGGAGAGAAGGGAATTCTGAAGCAGTGAGCATTTTGGAAGGTGATTAGATCATCAGTCTAGTGACTTTTCTTTAAATTTTTTCTTTTAAGACACAGTCCCCAACCCTATCTCCCTACCCACCTCCGCCCTCTCCCCAAAAAGAAACATTTCTCAGAAGCTCAGTTTGAAAAACTGATCAAAAGGGGAGCTTCTCCAGTCCAAGGCGGCAGGAATGGGAACCCCCGGGAGCCCCTCTCTTCTGGAGTGAAAAACCGCAGCCACCTCCAGCCTCAGATTTGTCAAGTTGGGGGCGGGCAGGTCAGGGCAAGGGGATTCCCACTCACATGAGCAGGGGTTGCCAGAGACGAGGGTCTGGAGAAAGGGGCAGCTCCCCAAGGTTTGAGGGAGACAAGCTTGGAGTTACCATGCGGTGGAGCCAAAGCACAGGTGGGGTGAAGCAGTTGCCCCGCACCCCCCTCACCTCCCTCCCCCCACCCCCATTCTCCACTCCTCACCCTGGTAGCTGGCAGGCAGCGGGCAGGGGGAGGTCCAGCTGGGGAGTGAGGCAGCGCAGAGGGCTTCCAGGGAGGTGGCTCAGCATCGCCAAGCGGGCAAGCACCCTGCACATGCCTGCTTCACCCAGGATGGCGAAAGAGCCTGATCCCGGGGCCCTGGGGCAGGGCCGCCCGCATGAGAAGCTGTGCTGGTCAGAGGTTGCATCACCGGTCTTGAAACACATTAGAAAGCAGAAGAGGGAGGCCTGGGGGGAAGAAACCCCAGGAGGCAAATCTGTCCTAATTATAAAAATCCTAATATTCTGTTTGAAACAGAAAGAAAACATTTCCCAAACTTCGACCCCCCACACCCACCCCACCTTGGCCAGCCTGTGGGAAGGGGAGCCGGTGAGTCTTTACCGAAACTGCTGCTCTGTCTGGACCAGAGTGCTGCTCTCTGGCCACCCCCATTGAGTAACTGCCTTGTTTTTTCTTAATTGGTAAAGTCAGAGGGTGTGATTCTATTTTGGGAGTAAATTGTCACAATCTCATTTTTTTAAAAAAGGGGGCTCTCAAGGCTTCTTGGTTTTAATGGAATTTCACTTGGTAATCCCACGCTTAGCGTAGAAGTCTGTCATCTTTTTCCTGCAGGTGTGCATGTCTGGAAACACACCACCTGCACCTTGATAGCCTTCTTTAGGCAGCACTGAGCATAAAAATTTTGAAGTATGAAGTAGGGCAGATAGGATTGTGCGGCATCTAATAATCTCCAGGCCCACCCAAGGTACAAATTAGAAATGACTCAGCCATTGGACTTCTCTGGAGGGAAGGGAAATGGCTAATACAGAAAGTAACAGCAGAATGGAGAACTGAGCCGTGCAAACGGGAGCCAGTGCACAGAGCATGTGCAGGGCTCCTTTGCTCCTGTGACAGCGGGTCCCGCCCCCCCTCCACCCCCACCCCCCTGCAGTTTCTGGGGAGATAGCAGGATCACCATGTAGCCACCAGAGGGCCCCAGAGCCAATACTTTTGCCCTTGATAGTCTCTGCTTTCCCCACCTCCTTCCCCACCTCTCCAGCTCTTTTCCCTTGCTAGATTGAAGTAAAACAAAGAAAAGTACCCTGCAGATTTCTCCCCAGTCACAAAGGGGAAGGGGGTGACTGCCAGTGCCTTCCTGCAGGGTGAGGCCAGAGGGAGCCTGGAGTGTGCTAGGCTGCATCTCCTGAAGGAAGCTGAGTGGGGGGGCCCTGGACAGAATGGAGAAGGGCTGCTGTCTGCCAGGGGCAGGCGGGCAGAGATGATGCCCAAGTGTGGAGGCAAAAGCGAGGAAGGCAGCTGCCAGGAGACAGCTCTGTCTGCACGCCCGAGAGAGGAGGAGAGATGAAGGCCCCAGGTCAGTCAGCTGAGCTCAAGAAAAGGGATCTACCCTCAAGGCTCAGAGCAGCCCGCTTAACTCCATGGGTTTCGTTTCCTATCAGCAGACAGGCCAACTACCTGGCCCTTCTTGCCTCAGTTAGGAATAACTATATAGTCTATGCACCGTTCATTCCCCCTTCAACTTTCATTTGCAAGTGTCCTGATTTTTTTTTTTAACGACGTCTTCTTTCACCCAAACTCAGGTACAAAGGATTTAAAGGCAACTGTTCCATGACCTTCATTGATCAGTTCAAAGCACTGCACCAGTGTAACAAGTATTGTAAAATGCTGGGGCTGAAGTCGCTGCAGAGTACCAGCCAGAAGCTGAAGAAGCCCAGCGTGGGGAAAAGTAAAATCCAGCCCAGCTCTACAGCAGTCAAGAAGGTGGCATCTGGGACCCCTGCAGAAAAGAACACCTAACCCCTCTGAATGAGCGTGGATGAGCCAGTGGCCAGTGGCCCACACTGTGGGCGGAATCCTGGACACGCCCGGGAGGAATGAGTGGCCCGTGGAGTGCTGTTCCTCTGACCTGCTTCTAAACCCATGCCCTGCTGTCGCCACTGGGATGATTTTGGAGCAGTGTTGGCGACCAGCCTGAGAGAGACAGAGCCAGGGTCATTCTCAAGGACAGTTCATCTTTGTGTACGCCTCTGGCGTTTTCACCGACCTCACGTTGTGTCTGTGTATTTATTTGCACGTGGTTGTGTTGTCAAGGACTTGGTGCTGAGCTGATCTGTCCCCCGTCAAATCCCCAGCCCTGTTGCTTACCTTGGGTTTCTAGACACCTCCAGCTGCTACATGACCAGAAAATGCGAATTCCTTCATGGGGTCACGTCATTGTAATCATGTGGAATATGCTATTGTTGCTAGAGGTGACTTCCCCCAAGTGAGGCCACTTCGTGTCACTCTTCACACATCCAGTTGTAGTATTCTGGTTAATTAAATTCATATTTAAACAAAAAGGGGAAGGTGCATCTGTTAGCACAGACACTGAGTTTTTAGAATATGTGCCATATTTCACAATCCCCCAGGACTAGTACATTCAGTCATTTCCTAATTAAGCTTAATGGGGCACAAAATAGCTCTATTTCACCCCATCTTCTTATAGCACAACTTTGGCTCCATCACTTTCTACTTTGCCCTTTAAACCCAGATTTCCTAACCCGAGGGCTGCCCGCTGCTGGCCTGGTGGGTCTACTCCTGCCGGGGCTCCCAGGGCGTTCTGGGCAGGACCATAAGGCCACCCAAACCTGACCTTCAGGGGAGATGCGTAGCTTTTTCCTTGCACAAATAATAGGGTGAGGGTGCAGTGGGCTCACTTACTCCAAAGAGGGTGTTCTGGGATCTCAGAAATGGCCACACCCATTGCCACTGTTTTAGTTCAGTTTGTATCACGTCTAGTTCTTGCCCATTTATTTCCATGACTGTGCGCTGGTGGTGGGAGGGAAGGTTTGGTCAAGGCACCCAGCAAGGACGTGTGTGGGACTTGCTGCCTGCAAGGGGTTGGGGGAGGGTGTGGTCACAGACGCAAAGCATCTCAGCTCCCTGTAGTGCCCAGACAGTGGAGATCTGTGACCCGCAATAACAAACAAAAGCCCTCCCTGCAGCAGGCTCTCACTAATGAGAACGGCGGAGTGATGAGGACAGCCTGTGGTGGGGCGCGGGGCGGGCCCAGCTTCCTCCGGGTTGGCCTTCTTATTGTCTCAGCGCCTCTCCAGCCTGGCTCCTGCAAGCTCACGACAGCAAAGGCTTTCAACAGATTCTATTCAAAAGAATGCCAAAGGAAGCAATCATTATTTCTAATGATAAGTAACTCTTTTCCAAATACCCATGCTGTTTTGTGTGTTGGGGCGCATGTTGGGCTGTGTGCAGGAAAGGGGGTCTGTGTGGGGGGGAACAGCCTGGTGCTGGCTGCTTCCTCTATGTGTTCTGTTCTGGGGACCACGTGCGTGGTCACACGTCTCTCCCATTTGAATCTGCCGATGCCACGAAGACTTGAAGTTTTAAAAAAAATCTAAAGAAACACAAAACCTCTTCTGCTTCTCCCCACAGGGCACATTTTCCAAGTCTTTGCTCAAGCAGCACTGACACCCTCTGAGAGTCTGCTTGTTCTAGAGTTTGTCAAAGCTGCAGAGCAGGAGGCGGTGAGGCTCACTGCGTGTCCTGCTGGCGTGGCGTCCATATTGCGGCGAGTGACAGGGGTGTCAAGGGCTAATCGGTCACTCGGACGGAGAATTCTTCAGCCTGTTTTTCATGAGAGCCCACAGACAGACAAGACACCACCTCAGGCCCTTTTAAAAATCCTCATGTTCTTGATCAGATGGGACTCAGAGGTGCTACTCCATGTTTCTGGTTTAGGGCTCTGATCTGTGGGCAGCAATTGGCGGGGTTAGCTCACCTCACCTCACTCTGTGCCCACCACTCCTCTCTGTCCAGTCTCCAGTGCAGTAGGTGGGGGCTCCTTCCCCCGTTAAGTTGCCCACAGAGCTTTCCCTGGTGTCCCTATGGGTTTCCTGGGGCTGCTATCACAAAGTGCCCCAGACTGGGTGAGTCACACAGCAGAAACTGCCTCACACTCTGGAGCTGGGACTCCCAGTCAAGGTGTGGGCTTGGGGAGGGATCCCCTTGGGGCTCCTCGCCCTCATTTTGCTAGATCCTTAACTTCTGCCTTCACACAGCTTCTTCCCGTGTGTGTGTGTGTGTGTGTGTGTGTGTCCAAATTTCCTCCTTTGCTAAGGACGCCCGCCATCTTGAACTTGGGTCTGCCCTCATGGTCTATTTTAACTGGGTTAAGACCCTGACTCTAAATCAGACTCATGCCCAGCTGGAGGCAGAGACTCTAACAGAGGAGTTTACAGGCCATGATGTAGCCTGGACTGACACAAGCTATGCAATCTCTATCGACTGACATATTCCGGATGGAGGCAGAAATGCTCTGAAAAATCAGACTTTCCACACTAATCCAAATTTCCTCCTTTGCTAAGGACGCCCGCCATCTTGAACTTGGGTTTGCCCTCATGGTCTATTTTAAGTGGGTTAAAACCCTAACTCTAAATCAGACTCATGCCCAGCTGGAGGCAGAGACTCTAACAGAGGAGTTTACAGACGTGATGTAGCCTGGACAGTGGCCTTTTGTGTCCACATCCATTAACCTGGGTTTGCTCAGGCCAGGAGAGCAGGAGATAAAGGCGGGGATCGGGGTGGGGGTGTGTGCGCTGGCTCTCCCAGGGCCTTCTTCTGTCATCAGGGTGGGTAGTAACCCCCATAGATGTTCCTGCTCACGGGGAGCCCGCCTACACCCCCAGCCATTTGTGTGTGCTTCATTGCCCAGGGCGATGAGGGCACTGAGCACCCTGCCCTGTGCTTCCGGTGCTTCCTGACTGAAGAGAGACTAAGATTTGTGCAGTTTTCCTTCCTGTCCCATGAGAAGTCGCCAGTGCTCACACCATCTTCTAACACACTGCGTGGTTGACTTATTGATTTTATTTCATGATTTATCTCCCCATTAAAATGTAAAAACTTTGGGGATAGAGCTTTTTCTCTCTCTACTGATGGATCCAGAACATCTAGAAGTGCCTGGATCCCAGCAGATGCTTCATAAATATTTGCTGAATCAATTGCTCTGCCTCCTCCCCGAGGCCCCATGTTGTCCATGTTACCCAGTGGATGTTCTCGGGAAATTTGAGACTGAGGGATAGAGTCTGTTTCTCCACCTCCCCCCCTCCCCACCTTTAAAAATGGAAACCTGTAAATCCGCCTGGCTCACGGCCCTGACCGGCCCTCCAGCTCTTACTGCAGCTCCAGCTGGACTGATAGGCCTCGCCAGAAGCAGAGTGAGTGTCGGTCTCTCCTGGTTCTCTCAGCTCCTCCAGGCTTCTCTTCACCTGGCCTGTCCTTGTGTTTTTATGTTTTTCCTCTTTGGTAGTTCCGTAAGTAACTGAGAAGACGTAGTCACTCTACCTCGTCCCTCTTCCCTCATCAGTTCCAGATTTACTAGGGAGCTCTGGGCACAACAGGAGAGCATGAATGTGGGCAGTGCCACCTTGCAGCACTCCAGAAGCTGCTGGCCACGTGGAGAACATCATCCCTGGGTGTGGGCAGCAAGTCAAGCTGGATGTCAACTTGTGAATTGTCAAAGCCATTCACTTCAAACCCAGACAACCTCAGAACAGTTCCTCTCAGAAGCCCAGAACCATCACCCAAAGGCCTAGCCGGTATCTCTCCCTGAATACCTAGACTATCACCCATTGGACTCTGGATTCCCCTACCTGCTGCCTCCACAGACCGGGGCTGGAGTCTCCAGACTCAGTTGTAATACTTACCGGCTGTTTGAGTTTGGAGAGTCACATCATTGCTCTGGGCCTCAACTTCCACATCTGATAAATGGGCATAATGGCACCTTTTCTGTTGAAATATAATTGACATGTAACATTAGTTTCAGGTAGACATCATGGTTTGATATTTGTATATACTATACCTGCACATATTACTACACTTGCACATATTATAGTTTTGATATCCTGTATCTATTGTGAAATGATAACTCTAGTTGACATCCATCCACACATTTTTTTCTTGTGATGAGAACTTTTAAGATCTGTTCACTTAACAACCTTGAAACTTGTAGTACAATAGTTAACACTGGTCATCACGCTCAGGACATTTATTTTATAACTGGGAGTTATACTACAACTTTGGACCCCTTCACCCACTTTGCCCAGCCTCCCGATCCCCCTACTTCTGGTACCAACAATTTGTTCTCTCTGTCCATGAGAACATTTGTGTTTTTGTTTAGATTCCATGTGTAAGTGAAATTCTACCAAATAGGTTTCTTTCTGTCTGGCCTATTTCACTTAGTCTAATGTGGTGATACCTAGCTGGCAGGGATATGAGAATTTATGTATAAAAAAAAGTCTGACCTAGAGTGACTTTCAATGATTATGAATCATTGCTATAACTGCTAAGCTGTGATGTATTTTTTAGCCTGGAGAAGCTATTTATCTAGAAATATCTATATCTCATTCATAATAGAGGAATGAGTTTCATAAATCATTTTACAATTCACCATTGGGGAAAACAGCACAATAAAACATCACCTAAAAATGACTTACAGCTGCAAGTGAATTATAGTTCTCCCTGTTATTGATATTATAAAAGAAGGGAAGTAAGAAGAAGTCGTGGCAAATGAGCGGTTTATGTAACACAATTTTTTTTTGTTTGGTTTTCAAACGTTATTTCACTCCCTTGTCTCAGTCCCATCTCAGCTGTGGCAAATGATCGGTTTATGTAACACAATTTTTTTTTTGTTTGGTTTTCAAATGTTATTTCACACCCTTGTCTCAGTCCCATCTTCCACAACTCCTCTATTAATCCCCGACCCCAGTCTCTTTAGGGGGTTAGGCCATCAAGGGCTTAGCAGTGACTGCACACACATCATCTCTCAAAAACTTACTTTCCAGCCTCAAGAGGCGTCTGCCTCTTGGAACAGGCCCCGGCCTGACTGATGGACCATGTGAAGTATCTCCAAGCTGTACTTCTGTGAGTGGCTTTGATCAATAGTTCTTCCAGCGAATTTTGAGCAAGGCATAGACGGAGGTGATAGGGCAGCGGAGCGAAGAAGAGAAGGCAGCACCAGTGGGGAGGATCTTGAGAACCAGAGAAGGCCCTCTTTCTCTGCTGGGCAAGAGCAAGCAGCTGTGATGCCTCGTGGAGGAAGGAAACAGAGGAGCAGCTGTGGGCATGGTGGAGGAGGGAGCTTGCCCAGTGCTTGGGCACCTGGCCGGGTTTTGTAGATTCATAAGGGGCACGTTTAGGTAGTGGTTTGTCTTGGGCAGCTGGAGAATGGGTGCTTGTCCAAGTAGGAGGCAGGATGGCAGAGAGAAGGGTACTTCACCTCCAGGGGCATCTCTGGGCCAAGAAGCAGGAGAGC